TCTCGTGATTGCTAATTCGTTATTTTTGCTATTTTTGCTAGCTATTTTTGCTAGCTATTTCGACTATTACTAGCTGGTCACTCTGCAGTGTTTGAAGGGTACTCAACTTTCTTTGAATTGAAATTATTATAAATATCATTCATTTTCCTCAAACTCAAAAAATTTTTGAAACGTTAAGCTATAACTAAAGTGAGTATAATTTTTTTTGATTATCTTTGCCAATTTATTATTAATATCTCATTTTTCTTCTTTTTTTTTTTTTAGATGAATCTTACTTTTTTACTGCAATTATTTGTTCTCGGTTTTGTTTCGGAGGCCGTTTCAACATCTCAATTAGTCTCCAGACAAAATGTTCAATGTTCTGTTAACCTGTTTCATTGATATCCAAGCCACGAATGTTACTCAATGTAATGCACTTTTCGCTTGTCATTATCATTCGACGAACACGGCTAATTGCACAACTAATACTGCATGCCTTGTAAGCGGCCAACCGACGATATCTATTAAATTTAATTGTACTTTGGAAGATCAAAGTCAATGTGGATTTACCTGCAATGACTGTCATGGCTCCGCAGAAAATATAGACTGTGATAACTGTGTTAATCATTTATAGATACTAAACACATCTTAAACTATGGGTTATATATTGTATTTCCTATTTAACCATTTTTTAATCAATTTTATCTATTTACTTTTTAATGTATTATGTAAGCCATGATTTAATGACATTCACCTGTTCTTGTGATTCATGTAATCAAGATAAATGATGAAAATTGAATTAGAAGAAATTATTGAATAAATACTCTAGCGCTATATTCAAATAATCGAACTAATTTATTTATTATTCATATATTTCCGTGAAATTTCACATTCATAATTAAGTTTTTGCGATAATTTTTATACTTACACGATGTTTCATACATATCGGCGTGTTTGATTTTTAGCAGGGCTACCGAATAATTGATTGTGAATTCAATTATCGCTGTTTGCATATTGATGCAACCCATGATAAAATTTGTAGATCGCTGCATGCCAATTGTTCGA